CTTAAACATCGGAATCCCCCCAAGAAAGGCAGTACAGCTATTAGCACGGATGTGGTTACTGGGTTTGTCGGAATTCGGAACAGAAACATCAGTAATAAGGAGAAAGAAAAGATTAATCAGAAGGATAGTAGATAAAAAGTGACATTGTATTTAAATATTTGCACATTAAAGTTGGCTGGAAAGCATGGACCCGGAAGGGAGTTCCAAGAACGAGAAGTGCGAGACAAGAAACTGTTAGCAATTACCATGGAAATATTTCTAAAAAATTAACAGAGAGGTGACACTAAGGTGGTGTGCAACTGACTGAAGCCGAACTCCGAGATCCGGACCAGTAATATTTCTGATTATTCTTTGGATTTTATGTAGAAGCTCCAGAAAAACAGCACTGACACAAGACCATATATATCAGCAATATTCTAAGCATGGACGAATGTTAGACTTATTCCGGAGAGAAAACATGACTCGCTAGACACGGCGAACCGACATTCTGAGCAGCTGACCTGGCGATGGATTCAATGTATTTTTTCCATCTCATCTCACCTGAGAACGTGCGCCCCAAAAGACGCAATAAGTCACTTGGAGGATAGAATCAGCCAACCTGATGGACGGCAGCGAGGGTTTACTCAGATGTTCAATAGAGAGCAGTTTATTTTCGGAGGCGTTAAAAATGACAAGCCATCTTTTTCAGCAGTTAACGTCGATCTTGAGGTAGTTTTGTACATCAGTTGAAAATTTGATCTTGTCTGGCTGATCAACCTTAATATCGAGCTAAAAGTAAATAGTAGCGTCGTCAGCGTAGATTCCATGTTGAGAGCTGATGTCATCGGGAAGGTCGTTAATAAAGATTACAAACAGCGTAGGACCAAGTATGGAGCCTGGGTGACACCCACATTGCTACGAAAGGATCTAGACGAGTGGGCTTTCAAGACAACTTTCAATTAACGATTTGATAGAAGCGACTGGATCGGCTTAAAAGGTGCCAGGAGATACCATAGCTTTTCAGCTTGTTGAGAAGGCCTGAATTCCAGACCTTATTACAGTAATGGCATCACTGTTTTTTATCTAGAACATGATGGATTCTTACCGCATTTATCGTTAGTACATCAACAGTTGATCTGGAGAAACGAAAGCCGTATTGCTTGACTGAGAATAGTCCCTGTGATGAGAGATGACGAACAAATTCAGCATTGATTAGGGCCTCTAGGAGTTTCCTAAACAGAGGCAGAAGGATAATAGGCCGATAGATGCTTAGGTTAGATGGTTCACCAGAGTCTTTAAAAATTGGAACAACAGTCGATGCCTTCCACCAAGCTGGAAAGCAGGAGGCAGCGAGACATTTTTATACAGTTTAGAGAAAACCGGGCTAGTTCGAGAACACTCTTCTTAATGACTATTACAGGGATTCCATCGGGTCCACATGCTTTGTGGGAACAAGGTTAGAGATGATAGCAGAAACGATGGAAGGCGTTATATGCATATCACTCAACAGAGAATCAGTTCTAAGTAGAAAGTTAAGCAGGGATACTCCAGATGAATTTTGAGTGGAATTTGTGGATGGATATTCTGGCTATTATTTATTTCTTAAAACATAAGGAAAATGCACATTTCTACGTTCAGCAGCTGCAACGTGTCTTTAAATTTTTGACCGTAATGCGCCTTGTACTTGTTAATAGGAAACATGTCATTCTCCTTCACATTAACCGCACGCAACATTCACATCACTGGTATATATTTTGGAATACGGGTGGTCTATTCAAGGCCACCTACCGATTATTATATGTTTCTTCACTACAGAATGCTTTTATTTGAAAAATCTTTCTCTTCTTAAAACCAAAACTTGTGAAATTTTGCTTAAAATTTAAAGGAGAATTGGAAAAACGTCACTGTTAATAATTATGAATATAAGGGTGTTTCATTAAAACGGATCAAAGTCAGCAGTAAATAAATCAGTATTATTGGTGAAAATTTATTTATTTCTCTATTGGATCATGTTATTTAAGTCATAGTAATTATGTGTGAAAAATAATATAGCTCAAATGTCCACCAAATCTGAAAGAAAAAGAAAAAAAAATCATTAGCCGCTTAAACTTAATTCACAATTAAAATCGATTCAAGTTATTGGAAAACATTTTATAACTGAATAAAATAAAAGTGCACTATATTTTTGAAGAAAATGTTTGATAAATAGAAACAGAAATTATTTATGACCGAACATAATATTAAATGTAGGATGACATGGTCATAAGTAAAATAGACATACCATGATAGGATTTACGTATTGGAGATATCAGAATCAAAGGGATGTACAATTCAATTACCTGGTGAGACTGGTTGGATAATGTGATATATAAGTCTAAAGCCAAAAAGAAATAGCAAAAGATGCCTTTCAGAAACGAACTAAAGAAAAATCTGCTGAACTAATATGCAGCTCGTTTAATGTAGTACAGGCTGAACAATATCTTTCTTTTAATCATTTCTCTGCAAACAAGGCAATAAAGCCACTAAGAGACAATGAGAGGATTACGGAGTATGAAACAGTAAAAGAAAAAGAGAAATATTATGAAAGAAAGAGAACAATAAAAGAGCAGGAATATAGAAGACAGAAGAAAATGATTGCTTTTGCAATAAGACTTTGAAGATCAAACTTGACTGGAAAGCCAAAAAGAGTCCCCCGAACAGGACTGCAAGAAAGGAAACTGTTTCCATATAAAACATTGAAGCTACAAAGATGTGGTTCTACCGATGGATTCTAAGAATACCATAATATTTGCGCCACTTGGGAAGCATGTCTGTCACTTTTCCCTCGTCAAAATGTATCTTCCCGGTGTATTTTCTATAAATATTTTCATGGTAATTGTTGAGCTTTACGTATTTCAGCGCAGTAATATATTGGCAGCTAGGTCACACCATTTTATTTGTGAAATGGCTAGATGTAACCGTAAGTTCTATGTTAACAGTTTCTTCACTCGCACTTCTCGCTTTTGGAACTCTGTTCCGTCCTCTTGCTTTCTGTGAACGTAAATTTTCGAAGAAATTAAATACAGTGCCAATCGTTATATTGTGTGTTCTTGTTTCCTGTTTTAAATGTTCTCTCACTATAACAATGATTTTTTTTTGTCTTATATTCTTTTTCATTCAGAAACCCATTGCACCTTAGTGGCTTTATTGCCTTGCTTGCGGTAAAATAATAAAAAATAACTACCAGGAATGATACATTTTTGGAAAAATATGATGAGGAAAGAAATAATTTGGTAATCACAGAACATTCAGATGGCACATGAGTACAAGAGTAAGACCAAGTTAACAAACCTTTTGAAAGGATGGATGAACAGACAAAAGGGGAAATAGTAAAAGGTAAAACAGATTAACTATAACCACAAAAGACAGGAAACTGTAGAGGCCCATGATCGCCGAGGTTGTGGAAGAACTTCGTAGATCAGAGGAATCTTTCCTTGTCTAGAAACTCACTGCTCAGAATCTTTAATTTTAATCGAGCTTGGACACCTAAGCAGTTGAAATTTCTGTCGGACACGAAGAAGAAAGACGGTCTAGAGAATGTAATACTTACAAAACTTATTCACGATATGAAAAGCATGCAGACACAGCGGACAAGGGACAGAAAAGTAAAAGAAAGGTTCGATTTTGTTTAGCAGGATATCACCACCTCTATGTGTTATTTAATACTGTTATCTAAATACGAAAATTAAAAATTTATCCTTAATTCAAGAGAATGACATTATTTCATGATTAAATTATAATTACATATCTGCATTTTTTAGCAAATAAATTCATAAAATCAAACAAGGAGTAAAACTTGTTTCTCCTTACAAGGAATTAGATTAATCATACCAAATATTTTTATTTTTATTTTTGTCGTTGATGTAATGATTGTCATTTTAATATAAAAATATATTATTGGCAATTTCACTACAAACATGTATTGTTGGTAATTTTTTTATAAAAATTCTTTTGCTGGTATTTTCACGATAAAAATATATTTTTATAGTTTTGTAGTGTTTTGATATTAGTTGGAGGGTCCCTATTTGCCCATAGCTTGAAGCGTAACAGGTGCTAGTTACTCGGAACAGAGTGGACTGTGGAACAGCAGTAATTAAGAGGTGGTTACAAGCATTTCAAAATTTCGAATCTTCCGATTGGGTGCCTTGTGCCAGATGCAGTTTATCGGCATATCCATGACGCAGAAAAGAAGAAGAATGTTCTTCTTTTTAAAAATCGCTATTCAAAAACCATTCCTTTTTAACTAAACACATCTTTCATATATTAGTATTGTTTCTTTGAATAGTAAGTTTGATCTCTTCGATAAGTTCTGGCTGCTGAATTCAATGTCTATTTTTATATTTAAATGCATTTTATCTCCGATATTGAGTACTTTAAACCATCAATATAGCATGTATATATATTTTTTTTCATATATATATATATATATATATATATATATATATATATATATGGAATATATATTTATGAAATATATATATATATATATATATATATATATATATATATATATATGTTAAATACTATAGACATATTATGTAGATTGTTATGGGATCTTACCCATAATAATAATAATGGACTATTCCATACTTAATAAATACTGCGCCTCAGGATTAGGCAAGTCGAGTCAGTAGTTCAAGTCGAGTCAAAAGTCGAGTCAGAGGAAGTCCGAAACAGTTTCGCGTTCAGACAATTACTGCAAGGAATTGGAATAGTGATACTGGTCGAGACTACATTGTTCTCTCTACTAAACTTGATTGTTCATACTAACACTTCTACTTCTCTGTATATATTCCTGTTTGTAATATATCTGTGTTATTCCATACCTGTGTTCGCGTTCTTCTTTATTGGTGCTACCTTGGACTATCACCGTGGTACAAGGAACTAGACCATAACATATATATATATATATATATATATATATATATATATATCTATGTCTATAGTATTTAATGAAACATGCTTGAATGAAGATATGCTACCCGTGATAAGAAAGACACAGGCAGATAGACAAATAGATAGCCAGAGACAGTGAAGAACAGGTTTGGAAGAGAAATGTACAAACTAAATTGCTGGAAAGTCAAGAAATAAAAACAACAGATATGAAATAAAAATAATAAATTAAATCATAAATATCCTAAGCCAAATAAAACTTTTAAATGACAATATATATATATATATATATATATATATATATATATATATATATATATATATATATATATATATATCTATCATACGCGCAAGCGCACAAATAAACATAAAATCGAATCGACAATATTATCTGAGCACTTACATGTCTTTCTCAATAAAATACCTAAATGGATGTTAATAGTGAGAGTTAAAATAACCCTTACAAACCTCTATCCGCGGGTTTGAATTTTTCACTGTCCTCAAGCATCTCCAAGAAAGAAAAAAAAGTAATATTTAGTAATATTTCTTTTCTTTTATTTTATTTTCGTAACTGTTTTTTTATTTTATTCGTTTTCGTCTTTTGTTCCACGGACGAGAAAATTTCGTCCAACAGAGTTAACAAGCATGAAGCGTGACGTCACCGACGAAAATGTCTGCCTCAACCAGTGATTAACCCATGCGCCTAATATCTCCCTGTCAGTATTGCGTGCAATTCTAAGACGAGTCCGTACATCGCGAATAAAAGAAAGAAACTTCCCTCGCCCCGACCAGTAATGCACTGTGCCCTAGCGCCACTGCAATTAGCTCCATCAACAATTCGAGTTGTGTATACGGAACAGGAAATTTGATAAATCTCTACACGTACGATTTGCTTAATGTTGGTCAGTTATAAGGCTATGGTATGGCACAGTACACAGTCGATGGAAATAAGAGACAAAGGTTGAGGTTTTAATTCATGTGTCACAAAATATCTAATATAAATATGTCATGCGCATCCAAGACATTAACATTTTGTATGTATATATTTGGATCTCAGTCAGCCAGCGGTGACAAAAGACATAACGAAAAGTAGGAGTAAGGCAAATCAACATAGAGAGAGAGAGAGAGAGAGAGAGAGAGAGAGAGAGAGAGAGAGAGAGAGAGAGAGAGAGAGAGAGAGATTTCAAAAAATGAAAACAAAATTCGTATAAAAGTATAAAAGAATATAAGAAAAATAGATATAACTTGATTTAAACCAAGTTTGACACAAGGCCATATTTAAATAACACGCAAGGAGAAAAAAAAACCTCTAACAATAGACTTAGTGACAGACACCCTAGATAAAGAAATAAATTAAGAAAAAAAAGTTTATCATATATGTGCGACTATTAAATGAGACAGACGAAGAAACAGAATGGAAAAGAAACACACAGGACGATAGACGAATAGATAGCCATAGAAATAGGAAGTGTGGATGGAGAAAATGTTTGGAAGAGAAATGTACAAACTAAATTGCTGGAAAGTCAAGAAGTAAAAAAAAAAAAAAAAGATATGAAATAAAAATAAAAATTAAATCGTAAATATCATAAGCCAAATAAAAATTTTAAATGACAAAATAGTAAAAAAGAAAAAAAAAAAAGAACAATCAAAGTAGAACACTCAAGGGTAAAATGGCAAATAAAATGAAAAAGACGCTGACAGATTTCGGCGCAAAGCAAAGGCGAATGGCCAGTTCGGAATCGGTCGACAAGCGCGTTATTCATAATTGAATTTATTTGCGCCTCTTTTGTGGCCACTTTTGTCGATTTGATGCGCACGGACAAAAAGTGCTTTCTTCTTTATCGCCTCGTTCCTGAAAGCAATAAAAATAACAATAATAAAAAGCTGAAAAAAATAAGTGAAAAAATGGTAATATCGGAGTAAAATGATGGAGTTGCCCGTTACACGTGGTTGGCTTAAGTCGCCATATTTTTCATTGTTATTATATTATTATTATTATTATTATTATTATTATTATTATTATTATTATTATTATTGTTGTTGTTGTTGTTTCTGTTGTTGATGCTGACGAAGTTCGTGCTGTTATTTTATATGTTGTTATACAGATTTTATTATAGTTCTTCGTGATTTTTTTATACGGAGTTTTTGTTTCTAATCTGTGTGATTTCCTTCATGTGATGAAGGCTATTTCTTTTGTTTCTGGTATTATTTCTATTGTTAATATTAGGAATATTATAATCATTATAAAATATGGTCTTTATAATCGCAATCACCGTCACTATCATTATTATTATTATTATTATTATTATTAACAACAACAATAATAATAATAATAATAATAATAATAATAATAATAATAATAATAATGGATTTCCAATAATTTGTATCCTGGATTTTGCCAAGAAACAGGTGTGAGAACATATTTCTTTAATATTTCAGAACTCTCCTCAGTATTGCTGCCAATTTCAATATCTGTCTATATTTCTGAGATGAGGTATTATACACTTGAGGACACATGGCACAGTGGATAAAGGCGTCAGTTAGATCCAGTGACAGGACCCAGAGAGTGTGAGTTCAATACCTGGTTAAGGCGTTGGAGAACTTGGAGAGGGTAATTAACGGGAGATAACTGATAACTGACATCCATTAGACGTGGGACTAGAACAGTCTCCCACATCGAGCGATATAAAGGGTTCAGTTCGACATTCCAACCACCTGAAGAAGGCCGGTGCGTACAAAGGCTGAAACGTTGTGATAAATATGGCAACAAAGATGAGGACAATAGTGCAAATAATTTAAATAGTGCCAATTTAAACAATTCTATTTTCCGAGTGGTTAGAAGATCAAAGGACTGAACATGAAACTTGGGTTTGAATTTTGTTTTACAAAGTATTTCTGCTATTAAAACTTATTTTTTTACACTTTCACGGTGTTTTGACACCCGTTTGGGATTTATCTATTTGCCCAGAGCTGGGTCCCTAACAGGTGCTACCACTCCCAGTCAGAATCACCAGCAATTACGAGATGGTTCCCCGCTTCTCAAAATCTCCTGATCAGAGGCCTTGCTTTTGGATGTAGTTTATCGTCTTACCCAGGACGCGGACCATTTTCATTGTACGTAAAAATAAAAATAATTCAACCATGGCTATAGGACCCAGTCTGTTACTATTCTTCTCATAGTTGGCCGGGCGGGGGAGGGTAAAGGATTTATGTGTCATTTTTTATTCGTTCTTTCAATGCTAAACACAGTGCTTTATTCAGTTGTACGTAAAAGTTTACTTTCTTCGCCGTACGTAAAAATACAAAAAAAAAAATAATATGACAGTTGATTTTTCTTTGTAATTGAGGATATCACTATTTCTTAATGAAAATGATGTGCGGGGAATGTCATTTTATTAGCACAGAAAACAGAATTCACTTCGTACAAATGTCTTTGAGAAAGACAGGGATCTATTTTTTTTTCTCATTTCTGCTATCCGTGTAATACCACGGTAGACAGAACACTCTAGAATTGAGTATCTCTCAGTATAAAAGATGACGGGCAAATGATAACGTAGCATCGCGGAGTAAGCAGCGCTAATGCACTCGACTATCATGCACAAGACGTGATACCAATTCATAGATAATAAATGAAATAGAATATGTAGAGGGCCGTGATCGACCACGCCCTGAAATTCTATAATAAAAAAAACACAATGTGATTTATAGCTTTACTGGTCACGCATCCTGATATAAGCAATGTATGATAAGAGCTTTGTTAGGGCAGCAGGAAGTTATTCAATAGTATTGGTTATATACTGTACCTATGAACACGAAAGGGTATCTCTCAATCCTCATAAAGACGTTGGACACTATTGTAAGGTGAGTAAATATGCTGTTTATGTAGTCAACCACTAGCAGTAGGTTACCTAATTCACACAACTAGCGAGTATTGTATTTTTTTAATGTTATAAAGATTATCATTTGATTTCCAAATTCTGCTTTTGTTATTCCGCATTCAGTAAGCGTTTCTAGGTTACAACAATATTAAATGAATATAGTTCGAATTAACATAGTATAATAACATCGCATTAGTAGTGGGAAGTCAGGTTGATAATGGATTTTCTTTTCCTCTGCTTTCTCATTGCTACCTATGAATATGTTTCTAAATTTAATTTTCTGTTTACATTTTTGTATCGATAAAGATTCTATATTTACTAATGCAGAAGATATAATCGCCGCAATTGCAAATTTAAATAAGCATCTCCATAATTTCTAGACGGTACAGGCAAACAGTTGTTTGAATCTTCCATTGTTGCAATAAGTGTTACTATTTTTGTTCTATATTATTATCATTATCATTATTATTTCCATTAATTTCTGTTGTATATATATATATATATATATATATATATATATATATATATATATATTTATTTAAAGATATGATTCCAACTCGCGACATAAGAGGTCTCCTGTTTCAAAACAAGAGCCGAAAACTTCAATATAATTATTTGAATTAAATTGAGTTAAAGTAAGCTCTGTTCCATCTTCAAGCGAAATTTTTTTGTGAATAACGTATTTCTGAAATTTACGTGTTTTAATAATTGAAATCAAAATTTCCACGGTGACAGCTAGGGCGAATTTTTTTAAATTGGGTAGGCGTGCGTTGCGTGTTAATAATAAATATCAGTATAGAGTTACTTTCATACATGTCAAGTCAGGGTAAGGTGGGGGTGTCTAAATTTGAAACGGAAGAACATGTAAAACTTGGGATGACCCATGCCCTTTGTGCCCCCATGAGAAACTGCACATTATGAAATTTCTAAATAATAATAATCTATTAAACAATAGACATGAGTTAACGGTTTTTTGTCGACATCATCAAATTCATGGTTTGAATAATTAGCTAAAAACAAGCATACAATATAATAACTTTTATAATCTATAGCCCAAATAAATAGTTTAAATACCCTACAAAAAAGATAACCCTTTAAGAAATAAAATAAAAAAATAAATAAAATCTCCATAGACACGTAAACCAGACTAGGCTAAAACATCTTCCGTTTAAAATTTAGACACCCACCAAATTCGAACTCACTTTTCAATAGTAACTGATCTAGCAAGACAAGCTTGTTAACCATTACACCACGCCGGGGTGCCCTATAGTGATTTTCTATACGTAGCTTGCATGTGGCACAAGGCCGAAAGTAAGGGGCACCCAGTGAGGATCGAACTCACTATTCATTCGTAATTTTTCGAGCGTGACAAGCTTGCTAACCATTACAACACCTCGAGGTGCCCAATACATTGAAAGTAATGCCAAGTGCGTATCGGCAACTGTTTGTCTAATCTAAGAAGTGAATCATTGTCACATTGTTGATCAACTGCGTAAAGATATGATAAATCCTAATCAATTTGCATTTTGACTTAAAGGAAATAACGATGGAAACTCATTAAAATTAAAATCCACTCTAGCTGAAAACAATATAGATATCAAATAAGATGAACATAATCATCATCATGCAACTAAAGGAAATAAACATTTTACGTGGTTGTTAAGTTCTGGACGCGTATCAAATTATAGAATCAAAAACAGTGTTACTTTACAGTTTTTTTATTCGCTATGTTCAGGCACATGACAAAATTCTGGAAACATTATCTTGATTATTTTTTTGTCGCCTCTTTATTCAGAGTGAGAATATCTTATATAGCATCCAAGTCAGCGTAAAATGTCTAAACAATAATCTATATACAACCGTTTTCTCAGATCAAATATTTTCCATTGGGTCTGTTCTGAACATTTCCTCTGGAAACCTGACTATGTTAACGAAAATGAAACATTAAAAGGAAGAAGAGAAAACGCTATAAAAATAGAAAACATGAAAGAAATAATTTAATATCACCAGATTAACCCTTCTTTGTGGCACGATTCGTTCCAAGAAAGGACTTCTTTACGTTAATAACTTTTTTTTTTACTGATGGAATCGGTACTGTATAAAAAAAAAAGTGTGGAAGTTGGGGAATGTTTGAAATACCGGAGTTTGTTTAGGAATTCGTTTACTGAAAGTGAACTTATAAGTGAGCTACGTTACAAGCTTTTGCATAGTATATCTCAAGCTGCTTATATGATTTGATTTTGATGTTACGAATTTGTCTGTGAGTGGAAGACACTACTTAGATAGCGAACGGCGTTTTCAGCGTGAACTGCCCAGGTATGAGAAAGAAGGTAGGAAAAAGAAAGAAATGATTTACATCAGAGATGAAATAACAACTTGGGGCAGAGTTTGCGTTTGGGTAAAAAAGGACGATTTCCGGAAATGATGTTCTATGCAGGTCGGTCATTCTCCAATATAGGCTTAATACGATCATCCTATTTCGGAATAGTTCCATTGCTATTTGTCTTCTAAATTCTAAAAGAACAAAATGGGTGACTGAAAAGGTCATTACAAAGGGCTCAAAAAAAAAAGAAAGAATAAAAATAAGACAAGAAATAAAATAAGAAAGTAAAAAGAAAGAATAAGAGGAAAAGACGAAGAAAGAAAAAAAAACAGTCACATGGAATATAGAAAAAGAAACAATATGGAGAGAAGAAAGACTGAATGAAATAAAGAAAGATATTCGCTAAAACTATAATAAAAGACAGGAAGATGAAACAGTGAAGAAAGAAACAAAGAAAGTAAGAAAAAAGACATTCACTAGGACTATATTGAAAGAACAGGAAGAGGAAAATGGAAAGAAAGAAGGAAGGAAAGAAAAATGAAAGGAAACTATTACATGGATTAAAGAAAGAAAGAAAGAAAGGAACAATAAAAAAAAATTCACCAAGACTAGAATAAAAATAAAAAAGCACGAGAAATAGAAATAAATAAAAACAGAGAGTAAGAAGGGCGAAATAGACTTTCACGAAGACAAATGTAAAATAAGAATAAAAAGCCTTGGTAAGAATGAGTTATGCGTTGGCTATCTCTCTGCGTAGTAGTAGTCATAGTACAGTTCTCCGTGTCCTGAATAGCATCCGGATTTGCTAAGCATAGTCACCCTATGTTCGCCACTTGTTCTCTATTTATACTTGTCTATCTAATTTGCATACGATACTACAGAATGAAAAAGAAAAAAGAAAGACAGAAAGCTATAAATAAGAAAGGTGAAAAGAGTTATTCTTTCGGAGAAAAAACGCAAAGAAAGAAAGAATGAAATAATGAAAAAAAAAGAAAGAGAGAATAGGAAATTAAGAACGAATGTAACGTTACACGGGGAGATCGTAAATTGAGAAAATGATAAGGAAAGAAAAAAAAAAGCGAATGAACGAACTAAATTTATAAGAAATATATGGTTTAAGTCAGAAATATCGGTAGAATCATTTTTAAAGATAGATGCGAAGCATACTTGGAGAAGCTGAAAAGGAAGATGACGATGCGCGCAATATGGAAAAAAAATAAAGAATTATAATTGAGAAGATCAAAAAAACGGATGAAAGAAACAGAAAAAAAGCAGGCAAGAAAAAGAAGAGATGAATACAAATATATATATATATATATATATATATATATATATATATATATATATATATAGGAATAAATACAACTGATAAGTATCAATGATTTTCAGCGAGATTCCTCTCTATAAGAGACAGGGGAAGACAGCGGGCCATCTACTTGACGAGCTTATCTGAATATATTGCTTGAGTCGTTCATTACTGTTTATCAACCCTGTGAAAGTTATTTAATGACAAAAAAAATAAATAGTTTAGATTGAAATTATTATTTTTTTTAAGCATTTCACCCCTAGCAAGATGGGAAGCAACTAGCACGCAAAGGGTTGTAGAGGATTTGGAGCGAGAGCAGATAGGAATGATAGAAGAAAGGATGAGGAGAAGGATAGTGGATAGATCAAGGCAACTGGAGATGTCGATTGACATTACATTTGGATAGTTGGAGATTATAGCTCTCAGGGAAACAGGAATAGGGAAGGGAGTTCCACAAGCGAGAGGTGCGAGATATGAAGCTATTGGAGTAGAAGAGGCGGCTACATTTAACAGTTTCAACAGTGAAAGGGTGAGAGCGTGATGCCAGCCTCGTAGGACGCTTGAATTAGCGAAGTCTGGGAACCAGCGAAAGCAGCTCATCGGAGCAATTACCATGAAAGTATTTGTAAAAAAAGACAGAGAGAGGCGACAACACGTCTGGGAGAGAGCGACTGCAGACGAGAAGCCAGATCAGGGCCAATTATATTGCATATCCGTCTCTGGATCTTATCAAGAACCCCGAGGCAAAGAGAAGGGGCTCCAGACCATATATGGGAGCAATACTCCATGCAATTTATAATGGTTTAGTGATACGAGTTTTAATAATTAAGTCAGAGCTGTAGGAGAGAAGAAGTTGATTCACACCTTTGGTAAGTGTATTTCCTCGTAAGTAAATTTAACGAACCCAAAAGGAATTCAAACTCGGATCTCTGATTAACAATTCCTATAGTTGTGAGGGCAACCACTGGAAGTTATTCGACAGTATTAAATGAACACATCTCGTAATATCGAATATATATAGTAATATCGCATTAGTGGGAAGTCAGGTTGATAATAGATTGTCTTTTCTTCTGTTTTTTCATTGCTATCTATGAATATGTTTTTAAATTTAATTTTATTTTTACATTTTTTGATGCATGCATCAATGGAGTTAATTGTACTGATAAGGATTCTAGATTACTAATACAGAAAATATAATCTCCGTAATTCTTGGACTGTAGGGACAAACTAGTATTTGAAAGATCCGTGGTTCTCTCAGAACGTTTTCCAATAGAACCGAGGGCTCCAAATGCAACTGGAATCATTGATGTCCTCATGTGCCAAATTTTCGAGATTTCCACTTCGCGATGCTTGCATTTTGATAGTTTTTTGTGTTTTTTTTTTCTTTTTTTTGAAGATCTTCAAAGATATATTACAATCTGCAGGGATTGCCATATCAATAAGAAAGTGCATTTTTTTCTTGTGATCTTTGATCAGTTGGTTCTTAGCGATGATTAACTTCTTTTGATTGTCCTTCCTATCTAGCGTTTCAAAGGGCTTTAAAATACAAGAAATTTGCTGTTCTTTTATTATTGAATATTTTTTTCTTTCTGTTTTTATTATTATTTTTCATATATTATTATTATTATTATCAATTATGAATAAGACCTTACCTTCTTTTATGTTATTATTATTATCTTATTAGCTTTCTTGTTTTTTATTATTGTTGTTGTTGTTGTCATTGTTCGTGATATCATCCATAACCCTACCCTCACATCCAAGCTTACAGCATCTCGTATTCCCAAAGCGGTTACCCATCTAGTTACTGACCAGGCTCGACGTTGTATAACCTCGCTGTTTCAACCTCATGTGGCCGTAAGCTCTGTCTGAATCGATTGCCCAACTAAGTTGGGAGGCCTTGCAAAAGGGCAAAAATTGCTGAGGGTTAAAAAATACAAGAAGTCGTGGAGAGCCATGATCGTCCACGTTCTCATTGAACATGGTACACAGAGAAAGAAGTTCACTGGTTTTCAGTGACATTCCCTTCCAAGAATATAAAATTCCGCTATAGAAACAAATGACTGTAGCGTCATTGTGGTGAAATGATTTAAAAAAAAAAACTGGTATAGTTGAAAATTAATTTAGAATATGATCTCCACTGCGTGCTCTATACTAGTGGTCTTATGCCAAACTTAGGGTCGTAAAAAAAGAAAAAAAATCTCTTGATTAACAACCGCAAAATAACAATAAAACAATAAATAACCCAATGTGACATAAGAAAAAGTAAAATAAAATAAACAAGCAATAACACTACCCCTCAAAAAAAAAATCACTACAAATAAGCAAGCGTAATGCGTGCATTAGTGGATAGGGTATTGTGAAAAAGTATTTCACGTGGGGTCGGTGAAGAAGTTTGTTCACCGTTTTGACATAATACCAACTGTCAGTGCGTCAATGGGAGGCTGTTCATCACACATAAAGAGCGGTAAATGTGAAACCGCGCCGACCAGTGTTATAAGCCATTAATCAGAGAATTTGCCCGCTTCCATTTGAACAGGTCCACTGTTGCGTAAGACAGGACCCGAAAGACGGCATTGTTTTGGCCTCGCTGCGAGTTTCACACATCAGCGACGGGACGCAATTCAGAGTCGACCAACGGAAAGTGCTGCCTCAGTTGATGAGTGTGGTCAGCTCCGGTCTGTGGCAACGCTTACCCAGCTCCAAACCAGATCCCCAGCAGAAGTACCACCAACAAACTGAAATGCTCTTTCTTTCTTTCTTTTTCATTCTTTCTTTCTTCCTTTCTTTCTTTCTTTTCTCAAAGAAGCAGAAAAGCCTGAAGGTACACTTGGCAACCCCACCTTTCCTAACATTTTTTTAGTGGGGAGGGAATGTTATTTATTGTCGACAGTAGACTTAAGCTTCTTCAATTATTCTTTGTGTGTCTAAGGTCTCATCATTGTCAACAACTTTGTTATTTGACTACATTTTGTCACTGCCGCTATCGTCTTCGCATTTAACACTTAAATTACAAGAATCTCAACGCTTTCGCTTTCTCAAAACATCACAGTTTCTCACCATTTATATTTCAACTATTTATATGGCTTAACCTGAAGAGTTTTTTCTTCTTCTTCTTATTATTATTATTATTAATGATAATAATTTTGTTATTATTATTCATATTGTTGTTGCTACAATAATTCCAGAAGAGTGCAATTTCCAGATTAGAAAAAGAAATCTGAAAACTGACAGTTAACAATATCGCTTGTCGTGAACTTCTCTTTCATTCAAAACAAGTGCTCTTTTTTCATAAAATTGTTTTTTTTTTTTATACATTTATGAATTCCTGTTTAATATTTTACATATATGTTTGTATATAAGAAAATGCTATCGAAATATTCTTAGACATTATTAAACACTGTACATTTTCTTTTTACATTCAGGGAATCCAACCTTTCTGGATGGGATGCAAAATATTTGAAGACTTACGTCAATCATTATTATTATTATTATTATTATTATTATTATTATTATTATTCATCTCATTAACAGATGTCTAATCTATAATCTGTAACAATCGAATTCCCAGAACAATGAGGAAATTGGCTTCAAATGAATTAAGCTTATAATATGAAGTAACACGATCCGTCATAAACCCAATTAAACAAAAAGTTCTTCTTCTTCTTGTCATTATTATTATCATTATTATTACTATTATTATTATTATTATTATTATTATTATTATTGTGGATTCCCAGATCAAATCTGGTCTTAAATGAATGACAAACGCAGGAATGAAATATAGCAAATAAATGTATTGACGCAATAATACAACTGGTTATACGGTCAGTAGATCCAGAAATGCGGTTAGTAGCAATAATAATAATAATAATAATAATAATAATATATATATATATATATATATATATATATATATATATATATAGTCTGGGAAATTCAGTATCAGTAGGACTTCCTTCTGAGTCTACGTGCTCGCAACTGTGACTCCTACAAAGCGGTTACCTCACACTCTTACTCGCCCACTGTTCACTATATCACTCTATCAGTGTATCTCTGCCGAGTATTCACCGGCAGCAGTACAAGTACACACTGGTCGAGTCCACTTGTATGAAAAAGGGATGGACCCCATAACAATTATTATTATTATTATTATTATCATCATCATTCGATTTCTGCTATGGACACACTACCTACCAAGTCTGCGGAAAGACCTAAGGCAGGTCGTGGTGTGTTGTTATAGCCACATCTCCGATGAAGTTACTAGCGTTACATAGACAAAGTTCTCCTTAGTGTGTGTGCTGTACTTAATAAGACAATTTTCTGTATGTCTCTTAAGCTGGGGTTTCAGGGATTCTTTCAATGTGTTGTTTTGTTCCATTTTTTTATAATTCCAAGTGCACCTATTACCACTGGTATTATTCTTGTTTTCAATTTCCACATTTTTCTATTTCAATTTCCAGGTCTTTGTATTTTGATAGTTTTCAAATTCCTTGGTTGCTATGTTACAATCCGCTGGACAAGCCATATCAATTAGTAGGCAAGTTTTTTCTTTCTGGTTTTTGACAATAATGTCCGGCCTATTTGCTTCAATTTTTCTGTCTGTGTGGATGGTATAATCCCATAGAATGGTGACATCTTCTATTTCTGTAACCGGCGCTGGCCGATGTTCATACCAGTGTTTGCTTACACATTTTCCAAAGTGTTTGCACATTGTCCAGTGTAAGTATTGCCCCACTCTATCGTGACGATTTTTATATTCATTTGGGGCAAGTATAGAACATCCTGAGATTAGATGGTCTATTGTTTCTTGGTATTTGTCACAGAACCTGCATTTTGGATCCACATTATTATATGATATTTGCCAAAAATTCCTAGTGAAAATATCTGGTCTTGCGCTGCAAAGAATAAAAAAGACTTTAATCAGATGCTCTAACCATCGATGAGTATTAACTTTATCAACATTGGGTTTACTCTGGATATTGCAGAGGTTTGTCTTGCAAGTTAATTATTATTATTATTATTATTATTAATATATTATTATACGCCTAAATACATTACGTTATATACATCATATATTTATTAAACAAAATTCTTCTTCTTCTTCTTCTTCTTCTTGATTATTATTATTATTATTATTATTATTATTATTATTATTATCTGCATCATATTTCGATTTCTGTTATGGTCACCCTAGCTGCCCAAGTTTGCGTGAAAACCTAAAGCAGGTAGTGATGTGTTATTATGCCTACAATTCATGATTTGTTTTTCGAAATCCCATAACATCACTAACGTTTACTTGGACAAAGTTCTTCTTAGTGTACAGTGGGCCATTCTTACCAAGACAATCTTTTGTATTTTTCTGAAGCTCTTCAATGTGGCGATGGCTCCCTTTTGTTATCACTACTAGTGCACCTACTATGACTGATATTATTCTTGATTTCAATTTCCACATTTTTTTCTGTTTCGATTTCTAGGTTTTTATACTTCGATAGTTTTTCAAATTCCTTGGTTGCTATATTATATTTGGCTGGGGAAGCCATACCAATTGGCAGGTAAGTTTTTCTTTTCAGTTTTTGACAATTCTAGCCTATTTGCTTCAATTTTCCTATCAGTAAAGAGAGAGTAATTCCATGTGATGTAAACGGTGCTGGCAGATGTTCATTCCAATGCTTGTTAACATGTTTTCCAAAGCGTTTGCACATTTTCCAATGTAAATATTGCCCACCTCTATCATGACGACTTTTATATTCATTTGGCGCAAGAACAGAACATTCTGAGATAAGACGGTTTATGGTGTCATGATATTTGTCACAGAACCTGCATTTTGGATCCACATTATTATGTATGATATTTCACTGAAAGTTCCTAGAGAAAAAACTCTGGTCTTGCGCTTGCAAGAATAAAGCCTTCCGTTTAAGCCTTTAATGCGGTTGCTTGTAACTATCGATGAGTGCTAAGCTTATCAACATCGGGTTTATTATTATCTTCTAGAAATTGGACATATAGAGGTTTGTCTTACCAGCGTTTTTTTTTTTATCTGTTCAAGAGGTTTATCCTTGGTATTCTTATTCATATTTTTATGCAATGATTAGTTCTTGGGTTTTGTTTTAATTTTCTTTCAAAATGCCAATCTCGTTTGTATTTACAAACTTTTTCATGTTTGAATATAATTGCTTTCTGTTGTCATGTTTTTGACTAATTGTATCATCCAGACATTTATTGTTTCCATTTATGCTAGTATGCCAGTTGTTATTATTATTATTATTATTATTATTATTATTATTATTATTGTCTTTGATTTCTGGCGTTTACACATTTCTTTCCGTGTCCTGTCCAGGGACCTAAGGTTAGAAATGGCATCATTACAATTTCCACTGACAAAAAAAAAAAAAAAAAAACAATTCATAGATAAAGCCCTTCGTAAAGTGTGAGCTGTACTTGTCAGAACAATTTTTTGTATCTCCTTGAGGCATGGACTTCCAGGAATCCCTTCAATTAGTCTACTGCAATCTTTTCCAAACAGTCCTAGGGCTCCAACTACAACAAGGATTGTTGATGTTCCCATATGCCACATTTTCGAGATTTCGATTTCAAGGTCCTTGTATTTTGACAGCTTTTTGAATATCTTCAAAGATACATTGCAGTCAGCAGGGACTGCCATATCATTAAGGAGGCACCGTTTTTGTTTGTGGTTTTAATAACAATTTATTATTATTATTATTATTATTATCTGTATATCTACATTTATTACATACGTTATATAACAGCATATATCTATTCATCGAAACTTATTCTAATTACTATTATTATTATTAATAATAATAATCTCATTCAGAGAGGTGAAACCTATCATGTGTATAGAACTTTTTTCTCAGATCAAGGTTTCAAAATGGCTTCAACTACATTCATACTATAACTTTACATCAGATCCTATAGACTGCTGCTCTAAAATTAAAATATAGTGTTGCTGCAAATAACAAAAACAACTGCACGATTACTTTTAACAACAACAAAAATCGGCCGTACATGTAAATAGAAGAGAAAAATGTTTTTTACTTTCTCCAAAAACAATAATTCGAAAGGAAACTCAAATTTATTTTAAAAAATTCAATAATTACTGAATTAGAGATATTAATTTCTTTAAAAACTTTTTTAATGAAGATATTTTATTAATTTCAACTGACCGTGATACCTAATTTGCATAAACGGCTAATGTTACGTTATTATTATTGTTATTATTATTGTTATTATTATTATTATCATTATTATCATTATTATTATTATTGTTATTGTTGTTGTTGCTGTTGTTTTTTAAAGAGAAGCACGCTATAATAGTGACGCTCGTGTACAAATAAAGAAAATCCAATATAACCATGATAGAACACAGTCTAATTAGTGTATACCAGGAACATGCATCACAGCCAAATATATACGATATGCTGACAGGCTTTGGTAAACTTACAAGTTGGTCCAGTTGTAAATACCTTCAGTTGCAGTAGCAAATACTTCTCAAACAACCTCCGATTGAGGATTATTTTTTCGGGATGTTTCTTGTTTTTTATTAATTCGCCCCCCGAAAGGCGATAACGCCACTAAGACGCAAGGGTGGATATTGGGTGTGAGAGAGAATAAACATATTTTAGAATGAACTGGAAATACGATTGTAAACTGGAAACTTCCATTCCCATTCAAAAGACGATAGAGGAAGATATCTACTCGATTTGATGATAGCTAAAACAAAATATAGCAAACTACCAGATTTACTCAGCATTGAATAATATCGGAAGGATTTCTAATTTAGTTTCTAAATAATATATTCCA